TGAGCAATTATAGGGACGATGTTTCGGAAGTGTATCCACATTTTTTTTTTCAAATACATCTTGAAATTCTTGATATTGGCATGGAATGCCATGTGAAGACTTTGCACCATTAGAAACGGGTGTGGCATAAATAATATATGGTGATTCTTTCATAGCAGTATATAAGAAAGCTTTTGCACCTATAAATACGAGTTTAATTGAACTGGACTTATGACTCTCTACTTGATTAACTACACTGTTAGTTATACTTTTAGAGAAAGTAAGAGTCCGAGAAATCCAATCTCTTTGAAGATTGTATTTTTTTAACCATAATAAACCTAAAATGATTGGATTAGAGAGAGATCTAATGATATTAAATACTACAAAGCTATTATGACCATTGATTATTACTTCTATAGGAAGGATTTTGTAAGTAATATCTCCACAAGATAATGGACGACCATCTATGACTTCTACATGAACAGTTTTAGTTTTCTTTACTAAAGATATGCTATGTCTTTTAGTAAATTCTTCATCTAAGAAATACGTTGAGGCTCTTGAATCTAACAAAGAAGAGGCTTTGTAATATTTAGGTCCTAAAATAATATTTAATGTAAAATAAGGAGAGGGCTCTGAGGAGAGAATAGGACCTTTATTAGACGTTGTGCAAGATTTTAGTGGCACGGTCCCTATTGTAATTGGACAAACTCATTTTTTGACATATTATCTTCTTTGACAGCCATACTCTTCATTTTGTGGTTGCGTCGTTTCTTTGGACAATGTTCAGCAGTGTGTTTTGATTCTCTACAATATAAACATAATCTTTCTTGACAATGACGAGTCTTTTCTTGCTCAGTAAGAGTTTGAAATGTACTGCATCAATTTGCATATCCTCTACTTCCGAATGTATGTGTTGAAGAGGTGTTGGTATTGCCATTGAATTGTAGTAATGTTGAGGTACACTTATACGATTCTCAGATCAAAATTCAAAAAGGTGATTGTTGCACTTCACAACAAAGTCAATTACTTGACTCAATGTTTGAGGATCAAGTAAGTTGAGCATTAATTTTTTTACCTCATATTGTAATCCGTAGAGAAATTGGCTAATAAGTGCAATATCATCCAACTTGATATCAGTTGCAAGTTATAAAAATTGTAAAGCATACAAAATTACTGATCAATTGCCTTGTCGTATAATATAGATCTTATTGGTTGCAATACAAATTGCATCATGTTTTCCATACATGGATCGAAACTCCGCTAAAAAAGCCTCTAGATTATCCAATATTAGATCTCGTTGTTCAAGAAAAGATGAAAACCATAATAGTGCTGAACCTGAAAGAAGCGTATTAATGAATCTAACTTACGATCTTAGATTTGGATAGCTGTGGGGTTGAAGTTCAATCACAAGTTGCACTTGATTGATAAATCTTGAAACTTGGATCTGATACCATTAAACTTCTCAAGTAGGATAATTCTTGGTTCTTTAATATTGGAAGGGCATTCCACCATAGGAGAAAAGACATGATTAGGTGCAGATGTTGAAGCAGCTCCAACCATTTCTATATCTTTACTTCCTGCCAATCTTATTGCTCTTTGTGGTGGTAAATTAAGTTGATGCATCACAAGCATTAATTTTTTCAATTGTTCTTACATTTATGCCATTGCACTCTTCATTTCAACAAGTTCTACTATGATAACACTTAGAAAAGAGAAGATGTCTAATATCGCTGAAGACAAATAGAAGAGAGGACTTGAGAACAAAGAAAATACTAAAGACAATATCTATTTAAAAGGGAGTAATCCACAACTTCTAATATGCTTATATCTTATAAAAAAAAAGAGATAATCTACTCTTAATCAAGATTAAAAAAAGCTCTGATATTGTAGGTGTACTCTTGTCAATCTGTTAAGGACAAGAACTTGATGAAAAAGTAATTCAGATAAGTGATCCTTCACTCAAAAAAAGGTAACAAAATATAAATAAACAAGTATGTATATTGAAAGAGAAACTAGAATGGCTATTGCCAAAAGACAAGAAAACTAGAGATCCTTGAAGCTAGACTAGAAGCAAGAAAGGAGTTGACAAGAGTAAAGAAGGCTTCACTCTTGTCTCTATATATACTATCTAACTAGGGAGTACATGGCGACGTTCTATAGGACCTTTAATAAGTGTTGACTTTATAGGACAAATGCCTTGACTTACAAGGCAAGTTTTTCTATGTGTGGGCAACATTGTTAGCTTGGTCTTCAAGCTAACAACATGTGTGGCACATGGCCAACTTATTGACCACGTTTTTAATCCAAAAAGTCAATTAAAGACACCTATAAAGTCAAAGCAACGTCTATACAACTTCTAGGAAGCTTCTATATCAAATACTATAGAATTAACTTACTTTTATCTACTTTTATTTACTTCTACCTATTTATATATGTAATTATTGGCTTACATGAGTATGTCCATGATACCAAATCATAATTAAATATCTGCAAGTCACATAGATTTTTAATAAGCCAAAAGAAATCTATAATCTCATTTTAAAAATCCATCTTTGTATCATAATTTTGTCATAGCTCTATATCTCCATCTTTCACATATATATATAAAGTCTTAGCTTCCAAAACTCCCTTTACTTTGTATAAAATGTCCAAATTGTAGCAAAAGCCTTTCAAAATATTTTTTTCTTGCGAAAGATTTTTTTTCTTCACATTTTAGAAATTTATATCTCTTGATTCAACCATTTAGTTTTTTTTTTTTTTTTTTTTTTTTTTTTTTTTTTAAAATTCCCAAATAATATAGATTTTATTCCTAAGCTTTATTACAAAAAAAATGAATGATAAATCTACTATAGATCCTTTGTCATCTTAAAAACTCTAGCATGTGCTCTAATTCCTAATTTATAAGCACCTAAATACTATTTTCTTTATATTTCAAAATTCCAAATTTTAAATGCCACAAATTTTTTGTATGAAGTTTAGAAACATGATAGTACATATTTTTGAAAATTTTGAGCTAAATCTTGTCAAATTGCTCAAGATATAGTTCAAAATACAACCACCAATAAATCAAGTCACCTACTGCTAATAGATTGCAAGCACTGACTTCAACTTCCTATGTCTTCTTTATTCCAATTTAAAATCCATTAAATAGTATGTAAAAAGTATAGCCAAAAAAGTTTTCTCTTCAATCTCAATCGTTGATCCTTCATTGCTTTCTCTATACATGTGTTATGTTCAAAAGAGTGGCAATAAATATAAAATATGTACCTTAACTTTGAGCACTTATATCTCTTTCATGAAAACTTCAAATCACTCAAAATTTATATCAAACCTATAGCCAAAATCCTAAACTTCATGATTCTAACTCGTCAAATTCAAATGGCATCAAAAAAATAATCCTAATTCCTAATAAGGCCTCAAGCAGCTCCTTGGAGCCTATTGGATATTAATTTTGGCTAATAAAAATGGAGATTTTTATCATCCATTACCATTCATCTATATGGTTGGCATAACTATTCTTTTTTATATAAAAATCATTTTCTAATCATTTTTTAATAAGTTTTGTTTAGTATGTGCCCTAAATATCAAATAAAAAAATAAAACAAGATTTCAAAAGTCACCAATGTTTAATAAAGATGGCTCTAAATATATAAAAACTATTCTTGGTATAAAATCAACCTTAATAATAGCCTTTTTAAACTAACTACTTTTAAGTAATAATCTAATTATATTTTGTAATCAACTAAAATCTAATTACATGGTTCTTACTACATTGTATAGTAAATTGTATATTAAATATATATATGTATTATTTTTACATGGTAGTCAAACCACAATACGACAATGCTTATATTCTTTTTATATAGTATAAATTTCAAACTTGAAACTTTATTTGATGGCATACAATTTTCTTCTTTATAAGATAGACAAGGATGCCAACTTGATTTTTTCTCCATCTAAGGAACCAATACTAATAGATAAAGTAGAGCCTATTTTATACTCTTGCATCCATTACACCTTGACCAATTCAATATGGGAGCCGCTATGTAGTTGCTTGTTATTGCCCTCATCCTTGGTGTGAGTTCTTTTACTATGCTAGTGGCGACCATCTCCATCAACTCCAACAACAGTTGATTCCTACTTGTCTCACCAATTAGTATGCTCTTTTTTCCATCCAATGACCAAATTAAGCAAGTAAAAATATTTTTATTATGCATTGAATGATTTGATTTTTAAAATTATAATTTAAAAAAATCAAAAAATCAAAAAAATTGAAGAAAATATAAAATTTGAAGAAATTGATATTTAGAATATTTATGAATGATTAATTAGAGAATTTTTTTTAAAAATACAATACATGAATAGAATAGATTTGTAAAACAAGAAAGCATTTAGATGAAATACAACATTGGCAAATGTCTTAAGTGTCTAATGTTTGATATAAGATGTTTTAAAATATCTTCAATTCTTTAAATTTATAGAAAAGAAAAATTATTATTGCATTTCATTTTCATTTATATTTGCATTTTTTTCATATGTAAAAATTATTCCAAGAGGTTCCATATGGACAACAATGCACAAAATGCACAAAAACAGAACATAGATAAACTCTTCATCCAATTCTGTGAAGGCTGAGCTTCTAGAAAGGTATAGTGCACATGGGTCCATAATAACAACTTCTATAATTCTGATACTCTAACAGTCAATCATTCATTCTAGAAACATAACCTCAACAAACCTTACCTGCAATTGACACAGATGAACAATAAAAAAATATATGTGTACAATTCCTCCTGTACCACGTATATACATACATATACACAGAAATATCATCAACAGAAACCTGAACACAACGTGCAAAAAACTAGCATGAAACCTCAAGCAACTCTGCAGAAGCTGAGGACACATACAACAACAACAATAACAACACTGGCTGTGTTCATTCATACATTCATGGTGGAAAATAAAGCCCATAGTAAGCATTCATAATGAAGAAAACAAAGGAGAAAGACACAAAAGAGTGAGTGGCAAATCCCGTCTTGGTTCATTGCAACAAACATGGTTCATGGCAGACAGACAGACAGACAGAAGCTGCACAGGAAGTGAGGCTTTCATTTGATGGAAAAACAGATGCAGCTGCTCCAGGTGTTGCGTCTTTTGGCGATGGCAGGCTGTAAGCTTGAAGAGCTGCAGGATTTGGGAGAGTTGCCTCGGATTCTAGACATGATTTGTTGTATGAAATGAGCACCAGTGGGTGACCTTGGTGACCTCATTGCACAGCCTGGTTCTGCTGCTGCTGCTGCTGCTGCTGCTTTGCTGTGAGCACCATCACCCAACAAGCTTTGAAGCGGTGTCCGAGGTGATCGGCCTCTCTTCTTGCCTTTCTGTTGTGCTTCCTTGGCTCCGAGGATTGTCGAGGGAAGTCTGCCGGTGGAGTGGGAGGGACCTCTCCTCAATGACACTGATGCAGAAGGGACCTGATGATCTTCGGAGGAGATAGCACCAGCTCTAGGAGATGGTGAATGAAGCATACAGTTTGGAGTCGTGGTTTCGTCTTCACGTCCGGGAGTGCCGCGTCCGCCGCTGGAGTAGATCTCTGCTTGCTCCTCCCAGATTCTGTCTTGGCACTGAGAGCTGGAGTACGATGGGTTGGCCAAAATGGACACGGACGAGGTCACAGGGTACACGTCCACAAAGGGCAGTGCTCCGGAAGGAGTTTGCAGCCTGGATACAAAGCTTCGTGATCTCTCTCGTGTTATGGGGGTTCTGTTTATGGTCCTCGTCGGGGCTTGCTCCAGTGCACCCATGCTCCCGTTCGTTGCTTGAAGACACCCTGCGCAAGTATCAATGTCCAGAATCAGTTACTTTGTTGATTGTCTAACCTCGACTGGGATGACGTTTGTGTTTTCTAGTCACTCTGACTGAGCAGCCTACACAGTATCAGTAACGAAACATCACCTGCCAAAGAGTCCAGGTCGTAGGAGTTTCTTCCTCTGCTGGACGACTTCTTCCTAGCACCCGACCCTCCACCATGCCTGCCATCTTCATTATTTCCTGCTGCGTTGTTCATGGATATGTTTGTGTCGACTCCGGTTTCAATACCAGACTTGGTTTGGCTGTCACTTTTGCCACCAGCCGTCGGCCTGGGAAATTTTGAGTCTACCTGTTCCACTAACTCCTGAGCGCAACTCTCCACCTTCGTCAAAGTAGGAGTTGGCTCTTCATGTGTGCAAGTGTTTTCGGCGATCTTATTACCCAAGCCGAGAAGTTGCCGTGACGATATCTCTGATAGGTGCTGTGGTTTAGCTTGATGGTCAATGCTCCCAGTTTCACGAGTTGTAGCTACTTGAAGGCCTTCATAACATCGTCACAAAAATATTGGACATGTGAGAAGAAGCTAAAGAGGCGAACACAATTGTTTTTCTTAGCACCTACAACAAGAATAACTATGCAATTTGTAGCAAACAGCGCAGCAGATTGGTCGAACTGGCATTTAAACAACGTACCAAGGGTGACTTCTGCAGGAGATAAATCTAATTGCTTCAAATCCTCATCTCCATTTATGTGCTCAAATTGGGTGCCACTCTTCAGTTCAACTGATTGCACGACAGAGAACCCAACTTTTTCTGACTGGGTTTCAGCTTCAGTGTTTATGACAAACTCACCCATGCCATCCACACCGTCGTGAGCAGAAGCTGAAGAAAATGAACCAGCAGGAGCAGGTCCTACAGTAAATTGAGCTGTTTTCTGAAGAACAAACTTTCTAGCCCGCGATGCATCTACCCTAGACATCATTTCAGGTCCCCCTGTGGGCATTCTCTTCATCACCACAGATCCGGAGTCTGCGACTCGCACGACCTTCAGTAGCATGGCTCCAAATCCTGAGGCAGAGACACTCCGTCTTCTCTTTCGTTTAAGCTTCAACTGCGCGCGGTCAGATTTACCTCCCACGATAGTCTCAAAGGAGCTGTTAGCCAGACAATCATCAGATTTGCATGTCATCTCCGAATCCGTTTCATTAAATGTGCTTGGTGATTCTAATAAGATGTTTTTCCCCTCATTATTCATTGAATCTTCGCTCATAAGGCTGGACAATACTGCAGCCTCTGTGAGTTCTTCCTCAGTTACTTTACCAGAAACAAAAAGAGGGCTCGATCGGATGCCTTTGATTGTACAATTCTCGGCAACAGTTTTATTTGTTGATGTTGCAGAGCAGTCATGAGAATCAAATTCCTGAGGCAATATGATTTTCCCTGGCTCAAAGTGGAAAGACCCCAATGCAGGGCTCGCTATAGAAGGCAGAAACTTGGATTTCGACGTGATGTCACAAGGTTGATAATCTTCCTCTGGCCACGTCAAACTCTGTGGGCTATGTGTGGCTAAGGAAGACGGTTCTTTGGTTAAAGACGAAACCTCTTGATCACTTGAATCTCTTTCAATAATGGGTTTGCCTTCAGTGTCGTCAACAGCCGACAGAGAATGAGTTGAAGATATTCTCGAAGCATCTTCTGAGCAAGTGAGAGCATCTTCAACTGCGCTGGTAGACTGATTTGCTTCTCCCTCGTCCTTCAACGTTTGGGGAGATGAAGCGTTTGTGGTCAGAGAGATTGTTGGCTCTGAGAAGACAGCAAATAAAGAAATGAACACCTCAACGAATTAGGGGTAGTCTGAGTAGGTGGTTCTGGTGCGTTTTCGACAAAACGGGCAAACTCTCCATCAGCAGATGATAACTCATAGGAAAATCGAATTGATTCCAATTTACAATCTATGAACCCAAGCCCTTTGCATAGTACTGTATTGTCCCCATTCTTGTTCCGATGTTACCGCAATTCTTTGATGCTAATTATGCTTCCCTACCTTGGAAACTCCTCGCGAATCTCTCAACTTCTGGTGGTCTACACATGCAGGGAAGTATACTTTACCATCTATGTCCACAGCCAAAGCATCAGATCTGCCTTCGTTGCCACCGTCTACAGCTCTGGATTTTTGTAATTCGTTGCTCGGTGTCAATTGAGAATCTAGTTGCAGGGATAATGATCCTCGCTGTAGCTTGCCAGATAGAATGAGTTCCTCTACAGATAAAGGTCCGGAGTGTCGTCTTTTCTCCACATCTGCTTTGTCTTGTTGAGCTATCCTCGACATTGAGGAGGAGCGCTCAAGCATTGTGCTAGAGTGGAAATGTGGGCCTCCAATTTTGGCATCTGCGTCTTTGCGAAGCTTGCTTGGAGACGAGCTTGACACTTTTGCCTTCGGCGACTCTGAAGGTATAAAAGGTTTGACGATGTTATTTGAACCAACCCTTTGATCTGGTGGGTCATTTGTCCAGTTCCATAGTTTAGACTTTAAGTTCAGAACTGCAAAACCAACGACTAACTACTCCAACTCACAAGAAGAGGTCGGGAAAAATTGTTAGTCTGAGGAAGATAGGGTTAAGATTGAACCCACCTCGGAATATGTGAAGGCTTGGAAATTTCATGTCTTGATCCGTAGACGAAGCCCCACCATCAAGCTCAAGACCTTTCAAAAATTCTTCGGTGCCACTGAGAGACGACGGCTTTCTCCATAAACCCTGTCTAGCACCGAGAAAAGATGAAAGAGACTTGTCGATGACCTTAGGACTGTTAAGTGCGCTGACCGACGTTCTTTTCCCGCAATCGATACTTCCAAGTTGCCCAAGCTGCTCAAATTGCAAGGAGACCATCGAGAGCGACTGCTGGCGCTTCCCCCCAGACAGAGATATTGGCGCTTGAGCTGTGTTACCAGAGATTGGCTTCCCCATGGTTGAAGCTTGAAGAAACCCTCATTGATCAGAGAGTTACCATAGCACATCCTTAAGAAGTGAGATGTTGTAGGTGATCCATGTCCACATAAATGAGGGCGAGGGCTGCTTCCGGATATATTTTTTCGTCTCAGAAGTTTCAATGTCTCAATGTCAGGACAATTGCTTTCAGGAAGGATGTCGAGCTTGTGAGGTTCAAAGTTGAAAGCAGTAGTCAACAATCCCGATCATGCAACTTGAAAGTTATGGCGGCTACAGCAAGGTTATTCTCAAATCACAAGAAACTCCTAACGATATTACTGTTGACTGCATTCAGAAAAATATTGTACTGTAATTATCCAAATCGTCAGATGGGGGCTGTATATCTAGATGATGAGCGCTCCCAGCGATTTGGATTAATCTTCTTGGCACGGCCAGGCTGAACATTCTGCAACTGCTTCTCTGCCGCATTGTCCATCTTGTGAACCCAGTCATCCTATTCTTGCACGAGCTTCAGCCGAGAAGCAAGCACTTCCGTCGAGCTCTCACTGCATCAAAAACCGCAAAACTAAGATTCAGCTATACCAACTTGACAACTGCATGTCCGGAATTAAATCGTCATTGACCGACGCACGTAATTTACAAATTTTGCGTAGTGTTTAAATACCCTACATTCTGAAGCTCGAATGAAATTGAGTATCGTAGCGCCACAGCTTTGACTGACCAATGTCGGTACACGAACCCTTTCTAGCTGTTCAGCAGATCTAGCTACCTGAACCGTGTGCATCAAAACACAACGAAAAACAATGCGACGTTACTGATGAATGCCATAAACAGCAAAGCTGCATGTTAAAGCTCTCAGCTCAATACCGCAACAGTCGAACAGTAAACACGAGAGGCATTTCGGAAGGGACCAGCTGCGAAGAGCCACAATCTTCTGTGCCCCATCGCTCTTCAACCCACCACCTAACTCTCCGTTTCACCCCGAGACAACCCCGGAACCGACACATTACACAAGCTAGCTAAAAACCAGCTGCTAGCTAAACCAGTGTAGAAAACTGCAGCTTATTCGATCCTAAACACACCCACACACACACACATATGCGATGCACACTTGCGACAAAACAATGCGGAATGTGAGATCTAGATATTACCGAAAGGCGAGAGCCCCGAGATGCGGCAAGCAAACCTCAAAGCTGCAGCTGATGCTGATGCTGCAGCTGTGACCCACGTCCGTTTGGAATGATACTCTTGGGATCAGACCACCTGCAGAGTTGCTGCGCGCCACGACTGGATTGCTGAGCTTCCTTCGAACTTGAATAACTGCAAACCTCGACCGGATGCTGCCAGTGTCATGGAGCTCAGACACACTCAGTCTTTCACATACACACACAGTCTTACACACACACACACTGTTACGCACAAACTTACAGACAGATAGACAGACAGCCGGACGGACAGAGTGCGACAGAGGCTCAGGCGTTGGTAGTCAAAGCAAAAGATCCAGTGCAATCCAATTAGCGGTGTTAATTACATGGCGTTGATTAGAAAGCTTAGGGAGCCTAGCGCCGCATGTTTCCACATTCCCTCTGAATGTTCACCGTTGCTGTTTCCCCTCCTTGTGGGTGGTACCCCTCTTTGTTGTTGTTCCAGGTTTGCTTGGTCTCCTTTCATCTAACTTCCTCTTTACATTTAATTAATTTAAGGTTTTCGTTGGTCTAATTCATTCCCCTTGCTTTTGTTTTTTATTTTTGTAAACTTCTGGTGCATTGTTCCACATAAAACTAAGTCTGTTGGCATTTCCTTCTCCTCTAAGGAACTAAAAACAAACCGTAAATCACGTCTTTGTTTTGAATGATTGATTTCGCTATCATGGTTATTATAATTTCCACCAACAATGATAATTTTGCACTAAATTAACATCCATGATAAAATAAAATAAAATAAAATAGTTCACATGATAAAAACTTGTTGTCCATGACAACCACCCCAGTGGTATGTGATTAGATGTGTCTTATGTTATGAATAGTCACTGTAGCTAAGAAGAAATATATTTGTGAATATGTATATGTGAGCAAGTGGGATAGGGATAGGGGGAGTAGAAGAGCATGAGGTCCGTGCATTGTGGGTGCAAAGTGGTTGGCAAGCCTCAATCTCTCCTTCCCTTTCCCTTCTTTAAATTCCATAAATGTCTCAGTTTTTATAATGAAAGGGAAAGGGGACTCTTCGGGAAGTACTGCTTTTGCTAGAGTCAACCAACTGTAATAAGGGGTGCCATTAATTCAATCCCATTCATTCATTCATTCATTCATTTGTATACATATATGTTTTCAAGCCAAACTTTACATTGTTAAGCACAAAATTTTACTGGGTTTAATTTTATAAATTATTCTTGATTGACAACTGCTTCTACTACTGTCTACAGTTACAAACAAACTTTTAAATCATTTTTTTTGTGTTTGTATGTGTGTGTGTTTTATTTTTCAATGAAATCTAAGTGAAGTTTCCTCAACACCTCAATGACAATGACTGCAAATATGAAAATAAGTAAATTTAAGTAAGAGTCAAAAAATAAATTTCTTTGTCTTTGTTTCAATTTTGTTGTTTTGTCTTAAGAATATTCATTGCATTGCCGTGCTTTACTTCTCTCTCTACCTTTGTCTTTTGTTTTATCTTGAAAACCAAGTCACTTAACAATTTAAGACAAATTTACATTTTCTTTGTGTAGGATTTAATATGGAATTAATATTTGATTAAAAAAAAACCTTACCAAGCACTTCAAAAAGCACATTGTTGTAGTGGAAATTGAATTGTGCTGATTTTTTCAATTAAGTTTAAGCAAATACAAACACAACATAAATTTGGTGGTCAAAACAAACTTTCACATAATTGGCGAAGAGTAAAAAATAAAGAAATAATTCAGCCATATGTAATAGCCTTAATTAAAATAAATGAGTGAATGTGGTAATGCAGAAGACGCTTTCAGTTATTTAAGCGTTCATGTGATTGACTGATTGAGGGCAGGATTGGATTGGATTGGATTTGAATTTGGGGGGTCCTTTTTTTTTTCTTTTACAAAATAGAGAGTAATCATAATATAATTCAATTCTCATGATTGATGTATAAATGAAGACGCAATTCAATTCACTCATTTTTAGTTCAATCTCATACACTTGCACCAAAGCAAAGAATTCCATGAAGAGAAATTTATGGTTACTACACTATCAAGGTAGATTGAAATAAATTATATTGGATTTTATTTATTTATTGAACTATGGCATTGGGAGTAAACAGAGTTCTGTGTGCAGTTAAAGGACAAGTTGACTAAATCTTACCATGCAGGACTTCAATCATAGGGTTTGGTGTCAGTGTGAACAGAATGTGGGGTTGTGTACAATACCCCATTTTCATGGTATCTACGCATTAACAAAAATACTTAAATACACATATACACACTCTCCCACTTCCAAATGATTCTCATCCCTCCGTGATCGAACGAATGAACTCCGTGCTGAATTCAGAACGTTCGTCGCACTTTGTGCTTGCTTGGGCTTGTTGTTACTGTGTGAATAGGGTTTAGGCAGAAATGCTCTGTCTGTGTGTCTGTCTGTCTGTCTCTCTCTCTCTGTGTGTGTGTGTCTCTGTGTGTCTGGGCTGGGCTTTGAGACTGAGTTGCTTTTTTCTGGTTCCTGTAGGGTACTGATGCATGTGGGCTGGAGCAGTGAAGGGCCAGGGAAAGAGTGGATGGACTGACCTCACTCATTTTCCCTTGTTTCTAATCCTATACAACGCATCTTTCAATTCAGACTGTTCACTGTTTGAATGCAACTGCTCTAATTTTATTTATTTATTTTATAATTAGTAGTTTATGCAGTTGACTAGTATTTATGAGTAAATGATGAAGATTAAGAACCAAAGATGGCTAAATTAGTTGAGGTTTGGGACATTATTAAGTTTTTTTGTAAATTATTTCTTTGAGAAGCTTGTGCAACTGCTGCTGCTTTTCCCTGTAAAAGTCTGAGTAAAAATCAGATTTGAAATTGTTACAACCAGATTTTATTAGAATGAAAACCAAAAGATATCACGAAAAAATTATGGTAAGAATGGTGCCAATGTCCATTTGATACTTAGTAAATTTTGTGAAACTTCAGTTTACCAAAAGTGTGTTACTTTTAAAAGTTTGAATCAACCTTCAAATCATCGAAACATGTAACTTATTATTATACAATACAGAATTATAGTGTAGACATATTTTGTTGATGGTGTTTATTTGGTATTATTGCACTATTTTTTAAACCCACATTTCTTTTCAAGTATGTTATTATTATCAAATTGGTCTTATAAGTTGAATATATATATATATATATATATATATATATAGACATATATGTGTGTTAAAAACCACAACATTAGAGACTCAAATCTCGATATTTCCAAACCTCTAAATTTTTTAATTTTATGCACCTAACATTTCATTTCACTAAACCCTAAAGTGATACCTATACTTTCTTTTTGAAAACTGACTATTAAACATAAAAAAATAAAAATAAAAAGTGCATTATAATATTGTGCAACAATTATCTTGTATGTCGTATAACACAAATGAAACCCATTGTATGATAATAGATGAATTTTTTTGAAATGGATGAATGAGTGGAGACATGGGACTTCTTTCAAATCAATGGTTTAATTTATTATATAGACTTGTGAGTTATGTAGATTGTTCATCTCAATAATGACACTTGTCATAGAGAAGTCACAATGACCTACTAGTATTATTTATTTTATTTTATTTTTTTCTTTCAAAAAGACTCTAAGCAGAAAAAATGCTTCTTATATTTGTGTAAATATATTGAGAGACATCAACCTCTATGGTTTGATATATATATATATATATATTTTTTGATATCAAAATTTTGAAGGACAAGTTTAGTAGGATTTTGATATTTAGATCATGTGGATTAATAATTAAGAGATGTGATGCTTCACCTTATCAAAGAAGGAGTTAGAAGTTTGTGATATTAGTCAAAATGAAATAGCTTTAGAGGGACACAATGACGCTCCAAAGCACTTTATTCCACAAAGAAGGAGAACTTGAAGAATAATCACCTTCATACATTGGAGTCCTTAGATAATCAATTTTTCAAACACATGTGTAAAAAAAGTGTGAATATAATCGGATCTACTCTTTACTACCTTTTGCGACAATTGCAACAAAAGAAACACATAGTTGGAACTATGCTATACTTTAGGATTTCAGTATAAGTATGTGTAATCTTACATCACAATGGCTATGCTATGAAGATAGGTAATCAGCTTTCATAATGGTAATATATGTAGAAGTTCTTTGTAGCTTTAACAAGTAGAGCATTATATATTCTTACAATCGAGATATTTAAATATGATGATAGGAAAGGTGATTCATATTTTTGTGGACTATAAAAAATCTATCCATTGGGTGTAGATACTATTTATCCATAGTACATCTTGTCTAAGATTATCCCTCACTATCTAGCCAATGATAAAAAGACCATGATGGGAGATACATACTAAAAATATCAAATCCAAACAAACTTATAATACAAAGTAGAAGATTGCTAATAGAGAATATGGCAAGGATGGCTTCTATTGTATCAAAAATTTACCTCCACTTATCAAAAAAAAAAAGAGATAACAAGCTTTCTTTTTCAAATACTAATAATTGAATCAATTGCTAGCTCCGACAAATTGGAGTAAGGAGGCTATCTATATAGTACACAAGAAAATCCAATCATAGGAGATAGAGTGAATAGAAATAACTCATACCAAAGTAGCCTAGATTGAGCCTTGTAGCTTGGCAAATAACATGATTGCACCAAAGAGTCATCTCCCAATACTTCAAAGTTTTCATATATTAATGAATTAAGTGAGGTAAAAAATGATTGGTCCAAATGAAGAATGACAAAGTTGAATATAAACAATCAACAATCAACAAATCAAGCTAGTTGAATCTACTTCTTGATTATGGCTCCCCTATGTGAATAAAAAAAAAAAAACCAAAATCAAGCAAAAGAAAGTAGAGAGATAACTCTAGTTGATTTATACTAAGTAAATATTATAGAAAGAAACTAACATGAATTACATAAGTCCACTATGGTTGACTTTATTT